TGAAAGTGTTTATTGAACAGTTAAACCAAACCAAATCCACTGACATCGAGTCGATTCTGACTCATAGCGACCCTAAAGGACAGAGTAGAACTGCCCCACAGGGTTTCCAAGGCTGTAAATCTTTAAGGAAGCTGACTGCCACATCGTTCTCCCATGGAGTGGCTGGTGGGCTCGAACTGCCAACCTTTCAGTTGACAGCTGAGCATTTTAACCACTTTGCCACCAGGGCTTCTATTGAACAGCTAAAGAGCATAAAATCACAACAAAAAGTAAAACAACTCATGCAAAACAATAGAAAAAATAAATTGCTGGTGAAAATTGTGAGATTTCCCATAATACATGGCAGTGTTGATTGTAGGCGGACAACTCATTGCTGATGAACTTTGAGAAAGTTGAATACAATGACAACTCCTTCTCCTTTTCTTTCTTCTTTCACTTAAACCTTCCTTTTGCTTTTTATTTGCCCATTCTCCCTTCTCCCTAAGATGTGCTTGAAGTCTTCCTAGGATACCCAGGGATATTGCTAGAGTTCATCAAAGACACTGCTGACCCCCAAGATGGACCTTTAGGGAAAGATTCCTTTGGGGAGAGGAGGAGAGAGTATGTGCTTTTTGAATTCACCAAGGCAGGACTTACTGGTTTAAGACTGAAGTCACTTTATGAACGAACATTAATACCTTACTGATGCATTTTGGGGGGTCATTTTACTATCCTTGAAGCTTATCATTTCATTGGAAACCTGGATGATGGCTTTGACCTGGTTTTGCTAGAAACAGAAACTGTTTTTTATTCCATCAAGTCATGTCAACTGTCCATTGAGATGGGAGTCCATCGGTAACATCGTTTTGCATCCAGAGGTGCAAATCTAAATATGCTGTGATTATCCTCTGACAGTGTGTGCCTGGGTGGTGCAAATGGTAAACACACTGAGCTGCGATCCCAAAAGTTGAAAGTTCAGATCGCCCAGAAGCGGCTTGAAAGAAAGACTTGGGGATCTACTTCTGAAAATCATGCACTGAAAACCTTGTGGAGCACAGTTCTACTCTGACACCCACGGTGTCGCCCCGAGTTGAAATCTGCTCAACAACGCCGGGTTTATCCTCAGAAAATACGGTGCTCAAGATCATGGCGAGCATCTTCAGCCTTGGGCGTGGCACTGATAGTGACTGTCATTGGCCCAACGTGTTGTGGTTGGAAGGTCAGGTTCACATTTATTGACTCACTGAATCATCACAAACCACATCCTATCACTTGTGTGTTCTTACTCTTCATTCGATGAGGAACCTGAGGCTCAGACATTGAACAGGAGGGGAGTAGAGTTGGCGCTCGGAGCTTCCTCCTCCTGTCACCGGGGTAGCCCCCATTTATTCAATGTATGCTGTGTGCCCAGCCCTGAAGAAGATGTGGTCCCTGCCCCTGAGGGCTCACTCTGCTGTGTTCATCCTTCTACACCCGACAGGTGGCAGTGTCTTTGGGTGCCATTGGTGCAGCGTTTCAAAACACCCTTGGTTTCTGTAAGACTTGGTGATTGGCCTGTTTCAGGTGAAGGAAAGGATTCTCAGTGAAAATAATTTCCTTAAAAAAGAGAAAAGTCCTAACTGCCTTTGCCAGAAGAGATTTTTCCACATCACAGTTGCAAATGCCTTGCTTATCTTTTTTTTTTTGAACAGTCTTAAGCATTCCACTGCATAATTAAATAGCCACAGGGCTTCTCCTTATCTGCAGGGCAGCGAGAAGGTTGGCTGTGTGGGTCCCCGTCTCCTCTTTAAGGGAGGGAAGCTTTGCTCTGTATGCCCAGCTGCTTGCCTGCTCAGTGATCTCTTGATGACCGATGCTGGGTCATAGGAAAGCAAATTCCATAGCATTCTTGGTGACTTGCTGCTGGTGTGACTTGGTCATAATAAATGTTGATTATTTTATGACCGAAACTAATCCAGTGTAAATTCATTCCCACGTTTTTGCGTGCTGTTTCAGTAATTAGATGTCGGAGACGTGGGACCCCAATGACCTCTGACCCTTGGTTTCAGCAGCTGTGAAAGGGATTGGGCCAGGTGGCCTATAGGCTCTGTACGTTTTGATGTCGTATGAATTTGTGACTCTAAGATCCTGGAACTGGGAGATGATCAGAAATATGGGACCAACTGGAATTCCTTTTCCTGCCTCCTTTCTGCCCCCCCTCTTTCCCATATTTCTGCTCAGGGTCCAGAGTTCAACATATTTCAATTAGTAAGTCAGTTCAGCTGCATTACGCCTTAGCGGGCCTTTGGAGACCCGGCCTGAGAACCTTTCAACTAAATTTCCAGCAACACCTTTCCAACATCAACTTCGTTCTTCATGTCTCTGCTCAAATGGCCGCTCTTCAGAGGCCTTCGCTGATCATCCTGTACAACAGAGGGTGGTGAACTTTCTGTGAAGGGCACCAGATGGTAAATATTTTAGGTTTTGTGGGCCGTACAGTCTCTGTCGCAACTATGCGAAAGCAGTCAGAGACCACACGTGAACGAATGAGTCATGGCTGTGTTCCAATAAAACTTTGTTTACAGAAACAGGCGGTGGCTGGATTGGGCCCGTGGGCCATTGTTTGCCAGCTCCTGCTGCACAGGGAGCACTGGCCCATAAACTATCTCCGTGTGCCCCACTGTCTTTCTGCATTCTTCCTCATGGCACTTAAGACACCTCACATACTTTACATTTTCTATAGATTTCTTTACCGTCCGTCGCCCAGCTGTAACGGGGGCTCCACAAGTGCCAGCCTCTGTCCTGTTCCCTGTTTGCTTCCCAGCATCTAGAACAAAGCTTGGCCCAAAGTAGGTGTTCATTCAGTAAGCAATTGTTGAATGAGAAAAACAACACAGCCTGTTGGGCTTTCTGCCCTTGTTTGGGAGGGCGTGCTTGTCTGTGTTAAGCTGGGCTTCTGTTTTCTACCTCTTGTTGTGGTTACCTCTGTGTTCATGTCCTGAGTCCTCAGCTCGGTTAAAGGCGTTTCAACGTCTGAACCTTCTTTGGCTTTGTACGCCTTTGGGAAAGGGTCGTCTTTGGGAGGCCTGGCCTTGTGTGCTGGACTTTCTGCAGACGTTGGCTCTTGGTGGTGCTGGTGAGGTGGATTCTCAGACCAGACGCCTGCACCCTCCCTGTTCCTTCAACAATGGGACTGACAAATGAAGAGACTTTATTCTCATCTTGTGTGGGAGATTTGTCTGTTTGAGTGTGGTCTGGAAAAAACAACTGCCTTGTGATGTTGCCCAGATCTGGAGCCGAGCTGGAGTTGGGAAGCTTTGTGTTTTCCGGGCCTGGGACTCTGGGTACCATTCACGGGCTCACTGTGAGGGATGAAAGCCCGTTTCATGGGCCCTTGTGGCCAGCGGCTCTGGCTTTTCTCCTCGAAGGCGAGTGGCTCCTTCTTACCTCTGTTCGGAGAGGTCTCCGTGGGTTAGATCCTCTTGGGTTCCATTGTTCCCTGCAGATTTGGGGATGAGGATAGCGTTCGACATGGTCCACCTTCCGTGTGTGGGCCAAGTTGGGCACTGGGGGTGGGGCATAGAGAGCCACCAGACCTGAGCCTTCCCTCTGCAACGCTGACGTCTCAGAGAGACAGGACATGTTCGTAAGAAAAGTGGCTTTTCCCCAGGAGCTGGAAGGAGGGCAGAGTGCAGATGGAGGGAGAAGGAGCGGGGTTGACGGATGGCGGTCGTGTCAAGGAGGTGCTGTTGGATTTGGGTCTCCAAGGATGAACTGGATTTAACCGGGAGGAGAGGGAGGAAGGGGTATCCCCAGAGCAGACAAAGGCACAGGCTGACTGAGGAGGCTGAGAAAGCCAGCATATGTGTGTGGTGGGGGGCTCATGGGGGTTGGGGTGAGATCCAGTTCTGTAATGAGATCCAGTTATGACTTGTCTTTTTTTTAAGGTAATTATTTTCACTGAGAATCCTTTCCTTCACCTGAAACTGGTGATGGATTCATTCCTTCAGGACCTGCTTCAGCTTAGCGGAGTTCTGTTTGCATTTGGCGTTAGAGCCTCTAGGCTTTATCATCTTAAGAAAAACAGTGTGTCCCACGCAGCTCACACAGCACAGATTTAACTCTCCAGACCAGCGAAACACAGACCTGAGCCCGGCCGCTCCTGAGAACTCAAAATGGCAGACAGTGTGTAAAAAAAAAACCAAAAAAAATGTTGCCAAACCCGTTGCCACTGAGTTGATTCCAACTCATAGCAACCTGTAATCTTTCCAAGGCTGTAATCTTTATGGAAGCAGACTGCCATACTTTCTCCCATGGATGGGCTGGTGGGTTCAAACCCAGACCTTCTGGTTAGTAGCTGGGTGCTTAACCACTGTGCCACCAGGGCTTCTACACAGTGTGTGGGGTTCCGTTTATTTCCCTTGAGGTCAAGACATACTCTAAGAAGCTTGGCTTTGTGATAGTAGCAAAGCCTGGCACAAATAAATAGACCATTAAGTATATGTGTGTACCTGTGTGTACCTGTGTGTGCATGTACATAAGTGTGTATGTGCCTGTGTGTGTGTGTGTGTGTGTGTGAGAGAGAGAGAGAGAGAGACTCAGTCATGTTGAACGGAAAAAAATTGTAAATGCAACATTCTTACAAATAAAAAGCGCTGCAGTAATAGAATTCTGGGTATTACAGTGCAAGCAGACTTTGCATTGGCGAGCGACTTAGAAGTTTGCTTGTAGCACATCTCTCCATGCTGTGTTGGGGCTTGTTTTTAAAGCTGTGCCGTATGTAGATATGAAGGTGGGGTAGCTTTTGCTTGGTGCTTCCCCGGGTTGATGTTTCAGATACTCGCTCAGTCTACTCTTCCACACAAGGCACGGCTTCCTGGCTTCACGGGGCTGGGGGAGAGACGGACACCTGCTGGGGCCATTTGCAAAAACAAGAGCAGCCTCTCCTGGGAATCAGCGGGCGTCCACTGACCTTTGTTGGACTTTCTCTCCTTTTCCTCCTTCCCATCTGTCTCCATCTTCTCTCTCCCACCTTTCTGCAGAGCCGCCAACCAAATACCAAATCTCTCAACCAGAAGTGTACGTGGCCGCGCCAGGGGAGTCGCTAGAGTTGGGCTGCCTGTTGAAAGATGCCGCCGTGATCAGTTGGACTAAGGATGGGGTACACTTGGGGCCCAACAATAGGACAGTGCTTATTGGGGAGTACTTGCAGATAAAAGGCGCCACGCCTAGAGACTCCGGCCTCTATGCTTGTACTGCTGCTAGGAGTGTAGACAGTGAGACCTTGTACTTCATGGTCAATGTTACAGGTGAGTGGGCCCGAGAGCCCTTGGCTCTCCCTTCTCTGTAGCTGTTTTGTGGGTAAAAATTTAATTGTACCATTGGAATTGTAGTGGCAGCTGCTAATTGGATGCCCGGCACACAGCTTCATAGTTTGTTATTGACTGGTTTTTGAAGGTCTTCCACGAGACCCAGTGCACGCGGGACACTGGTCATTAAGAATGACAAAATTCTCGTGTGCAAAGAAAGATTTTCTTTTTTTTAATAGAGTAAAAATGCACCCCACCCCCAAACCACTGGCATCCTTGGCATATAGATTATAGGGTTGAAAATTGGATGCTCAAGAGTTCTGATTTCTTTGATGAAAATTGGAGTTTCTCTCCTAGATTTTTCTTCCATGTAGGGAGGGGGGCTGCATAAGCCCCTTCTGTGGCGAACTTTTAAAGATTTGCTTTCAGAACATTAGTAAATCATTGGAAGGCCACCCAGGGGCAAAGTTTTGTTAGGGACTTAATTCCTTTCTTGAAGGGGACCCCTGAAAGCTGAAAGGTTGTGTTGGAAGGAATCTTTGGGTGTTATGTAATCAGTAAATTTGTCTGGGACTTGAATACTGTTTGAAACTGAAAACCCAGTTGCAGTATATCCAATTTTATAGCATGTTTAAATAACGTGAAGGCAGAAAACATTGAGAATCGTAGTACAGGCCGACTGTCATCATGTAGAGAAAATCGAAGCCATTAAAACCGTTGTAACCAAACACAGCCTCAAACTTGCTGCCTGGGACCCTGAGTTGTTGGATTCACTATACCCCAGAGGGCCCAAATTGTAGGTAATTGCTACCTCTTGCTTTGCAAAAAACACATCCATGAATATGTTCTTTTGACTACAGATGCAATCTCATCAGGAGATGATGAGGACGACACAGATGGCTCCGAGGACTTTGTCAGTGAGAACAATAACAACAAGAGTAAGTAACAGCAGGACTCGGAAGGTCCCGAGAGGAGAAGCTGGTGGGAAGTGGCAGCTCTAGCCTGTCTTCTTGTCGACTGTCCAGCTTGCTGCCGTGTCCTGCACCCTCTCCTTTCCCCACTGTCTGCTGTCTGACTTTCAAACCTGAGAATAAACCAGTGTTCCTGCACACCCTTCTCTGTATTTGTCTTTTCTTCTTGTGTCGGTAGCCACTGTCCCTTCGAAGCAGCTGCCACTCTTCTTTCTGGGTTTTCCTTTTTCCTTCCCACTATTTGGAGACATAAAACAGAATCCTGTAACTCCTTGGTTTTCTTTATAACTGGTGATGGTGGTTGGTTTAAGCCAGAGGTTCTCAGTTGGGGGTGACTTCACCCCACCCCCGGGGACATTTGGTAATGTTTGCTTGTTACAACGGAGGGGGTGCTGGTGGCATCTAGTGGGTAGAGGCCAGGGGGGCTGCTAATAAACATCCTCCAGTGCACAGGACAACCCCCCACAACACAGCATTATCTGGTCCAGAATGTCAGTGGTGCCATTGTTGGAAGACCCTGGCCTTCTAGAGCATGTACCGCGTGCTAAGTGGAAATAAGGGAAGATTGCTTTTCTTTGTAGATGGTTGCAGAAAAGGGGCCAGTGAGTGTGGTTTGCTAATTTAAAGGCAGTTAACACTGAGCACTAATACTTGAGAGGCTGTTTAGTTGGTGAGTAAATGGGTGGCCTGGGTTCAAACCCTGGTCTACCACTTCTGAGCTGGATGACCTTGGACAAGTCGTTTAACCTCTATGCCTCAGTTTCTTCAACTGTAAAATGGGAATAATAGTATCTCATGGGGGGGGTTATGAGGATGAGATGAGTTAATAATTGTACAGTGCTCAGGAGAATGAGTGCTTCTGAAGCTGGTTCAGTAAAGAAAAGATAGGACTAGCTGCTTTCTCCAATGACGTGAAGGGAATGGCCCCAGTGAGACTCTCCGTTGGTCGTTGGGGTCTTTGTTGAGGTATAGTATCCCACACTTTCTCAAAAGGATTTTAGTCTACTTAATAAATTTAAACAAGGCCTAAAATAAGACGACTAGTTATTAAAATAACCAAACCCAATGTCATCTAGTTGATTCCGACTCATAGTGACCCTGTAGGACAGAGTAGAACTGCCATATAGGGTTTTCAAGGCTGTAAATCTTTCCAGAAGCAGACTGCCACGTCTTTCTCCCTCGGAGCCGCTGGCGGGTTCAAATCACCAACCTCTTGGTTAGCAGCCGAGCGCTTTGACCACTACTCCACCAGGACTCCTAAAATAGGCACAGAGCTTTTCAAAGGAAGAGAAAATAGATGTTACCAGCACCTGGGATAAATGTATTCCTTAAGTGGGGAATTGGATTTGTCCCCAAGTCTCCTAGGAGCTTGGGTAGAAAGGGGGTTGATATTTTGGTTTATATAGTTCTCTGGGCTAGCAGCATCAGCATCACCTGGCAGCTTATTAGAAATGAAAATTCCCAGGCTCCAGCCCAGCCCTACTGAATCATAAACTCTGGGGTGATTCTGATGTATGCTGAAGTCGAGAGCCACCGGCTTAGGGGCTGACGTGTGGAGGTCTGTCTTGAGCAGGAGTTTACCATTAAAAGTCTTGCTCATAGAGCATTGAGTCAGACAGCGCATCAAGTCTTCCGCTATGATTTGTAGCAACTGTCAGAGGAGGTTGTTATTATTATTATCTAATAATGCACTGGTATCTCAGAAGATGTTGTTTACTTCTTGTGTCGTTCTTTGTCTCCGGCAGGGGAGGGGACAATGCTGAGGGTCTGCTCTGGGCCAGGCTCTGTGTTGGGTGCTGGGTACTGGTTCAGTCCATGCCCCTGATGACTATGGCAAGTGGGAGAGTAGTTATTCCTGTTCTATAGATTGGAAAGTGGCCACTCATTGAGCACAAGCTGGAGTTGCTATTCAGTCTCAGGCCTGTTCATGCGGAGTCATGGGGCCCCTCTGCCAGTTCCCAGGCTCACGATGGGGGTGGCATGAGAACACGTGTTTTATTTTCAGCTGTAAAGTGGTACCCACACGTGGGCTGCGTTTGCTGTTTATTTTTTATTTTGTTGTTGAGAATATACACAGCGGAACACACCAAGTCAGCTGTTTCTCCAGGTACAGTGCAGTGACATTGATTACAGTCTTCAAGTCGTGCAGCCGTTCTCACCCTCCTTTTCTGAGTTGTTCCTCTCCCACTAAGATAGGAACCCCTAAGGTTCCTATCTAATCTTTCGAGTTGCTGTTGTCAATTTGCCTTTGCTATTGATTGGGACATCAGGCTGCGTCAGTGCAGTTTGGTTGGCATGCCTGGGAACTGGATTGTTCTGGCGATCAACTACCCTGCGCGTTAGCAGGTTACCGTGAGCACAGGTGAAATCTAAACCACAGCAGCAAGGTATAGGTTACGTAACAACTAGGCTGAGTGAACTGGAGTCTTTCTTTGCTGATTCAGAAGGATTACCTGCCATGGACCTCCAGGGGATCTTGGTGAACACCAGTCCTGACCACCTGGCACCTGTGCAGGGCCAGGTGGTCGAGTGCTCCATTTCAGTGCATACTGGCCCATGGTGGGCTGCCAGGCTGTCACCTTGCAAACAGGGTTCTTTGTAATTAGCTCTCAAAGGACACCCACTCTGCCCCGAAATGGGTGTTCTGCAGTGCTTAAAGGCTGGTGTTAGCTGTACCAGAGAGATACTGCTGTCGGGCACTGCCTCTCTTTGGAGCCTGTGAAACATTAGATGCTATTTAAAGTGATAGCAGTTCTTAGCTGACTACTTGGCCTCTGCCATCTGTTAGTGTGATTAGGCTGGTCTGATTCACAGCTGCAGCCTGGGGCGGCTGAGATTAAGCAGCTGTGGCCTGTGTGGCCAGAGGAATGTTGTGGCCAGGGTAATTGGCAAGGCGGTAGAGGGGATGTTGCCATTAAAACAATTTTTTGCCACCTCAAGTGTCAAATGCCTGACCCGATTAATAGGGAAAATTGCAGAAGCTCCAAATTCTTTGCATTTTCAGCCACCTGGAAAACACCCCTGTGTCCAAATTGATTCCTTCGGTGCCTTCTGATTGTCTAGAAATTCCGCAGGGATGTGTTTGAATGTTCCCCTTCAGTGGAATTGACAGACGACACTCAGTGACCCTGTGCTGTTAGTGACATGTTGGCCTCTTCTCTTTTTGGGTTGAGACATCACATATTCTAGTTCTACATCTTCTGGCTGGAAAAATACACTGCAGGTTATTCCCTCCTGCCCATATAGGAGGTTATTTGTCTCATTTTGATGGTTAAATATAAGAAGGCAAGCTTGTCTGCCTGGTAGAGTTCTACTTAAATTCTGTACAGAGTACAAAAAGCATGCTGGCCAAATACAATGACAAAAATAACAAAAAATTCGGACCGGATTATTGAATTCTGACATGAAACTGGTCTCCCCTGGCCATGAAGCTGACATCAGGGTCTTATTTGAATTGATAGGAATGTTCTGCAGGATTCAGGTTGATCTCAGCTCTTACTCATTATTCTGGACCAAGCTTAAAAGTGGGCTTCCCTGCAGAGGACATCCTCATTTCCGCAGGCCAGGCGAAGGGCTTCGTTTTTGGGTGTTTCACGACTTCTGTGCTCACACATCATGGAATAGCTCAGGCCTGCCTTTGCCAGCACACTTTCACTTCTTGAGGGCCAGGACCACTGGACGTTGAATGAATGCCTCACTGAGGCGTTCTATTTACAGTCCTCATGTATGCCTTCCATGGAGCAGAATTAGTGTTTATGGGTGTCATTACGTGCTGAACATTGTTCAGATCTGGTCTGTGCACTAAGAACAGAAGCTCGTGTTTCCCAAAGCATATTCCTTGGAACCCTACCCATTGCCGTTGAGTTGGTTCTGACTCAATAGTGACCCTACAGGACACGGTGGAACTGCCCCGTAAGAGTTTCTAAGGCTATAATCTTTATGAAGTGGACTGCCACATCCTTCTGTGGTGCGGCTGGTGAATTCAAACTGCCGACCTTTCTGTTAGCATCTGAGCGCCTAACCACTGTGCCACTGACACTCCTTAGTCCGTAGTAATTCTCTGCCCAAAGTGAGTTGTGTTTTGAAATACATTTGGAAAATACTGCACGGTGTGACCCGTGCTTGGAGACTTACCATGCTCATCAGCATAATAAAGCTCTGAGAAGTTCTGTAGTAAAACATCTGTTTATTTTGTCTTATACCCAGTTTTCCAAACTTTTTGACCATAAGACCATTTTTAAAACATAGCATTTATTAGCATTTTGTTGCACATATGTCGAAAACCCCTGCAGTAGGCTTTTTTTGGGGTTTGACTCTCTTGTTGGTCTCCCCTTTAAATCAAGTTCTTCCATCCCAGATGTGCAGGGCATTTTCCGGTCAGATGTTAGCAGCTGTGGCTGATGACCTCACACCTTACCAGCTCTAACCTTTTCCGAGGAGTGGAACAGTCCTGTGATGTCATTACAAGCCCGGCTGCCAGGAAATAATGCTGCTACAGATGCCCTTCAGTGAAACACATTTCTTCCCGACAGAAAGGTGCAATTTCCAATGCTCATTTTTGAAAGGCATCCAGGTTGAGGGCTTTGAAAGCTGCAGAATTGATACTTTTGCACAGGAAAGTATAATTCACCTGGTGTTACGTTAGGTGCCCTTGAGTTGATTTTGACTCAGCAACCGCATGTGACAGAGTAGAACTGCCTTATAGGGTTTTCTTGGCTGTAATCTTTACGGGAGCAGATCACCAGCTCTTTCTCCCATGGAGCTGCTAGGTGGGTTCAAACCGCCAGCCTTTGGATTTGCAGGTGAGTACTTAACCGTTTGCGCCACCGGGGCTTCTTATAACTTAACTAGTCCTTGCCTTTTCTAGACACCTAGGTACCTGAATGTGTTGCGTGGCAGCAAACAGGTAGACGTTTCTACCCATTTGTTGGAGTCCGTTTTTATCACCTCTAGCTTGTGTTTCAGCC